CAAAAGGGGAGAGCCCCCCCAACAGCTGTAAGGACGAATGTGAGGAGGGGAAAAATGTCTTTAAATTTTGTTCGAATGAACAAGGGAATAGGAACGTCATGGAAAGGAATTTGGTTGGCATATACATACCCACGAATAGAAGCATTCACTCAGTGGACATTAACTATTCTTACATTTTCAAAAGTTTGAAGGATTCCTTTAAGGGGAAATTGTTTTTCGAGATTTATTTTATCTTGCCCAACTGCATTTTCTATCTCTCGTTTGTTGAGATTTTTAAGGCGTTAATTTATTATGAAAGTGTTATTGCACACACGAGAACGGAGAATAAAAAGAGGGAACTAAGTTTGCAAAATAAAATGAAAAATAATTTGCTCCAAAAGGTGTATAGGAACAGAAAAGCTGATTTAAAGAAGGAACTTAGGGAAGAATTGGAAAAAATCCTTTCACAGAAGAAGTACACAAAAGTAATTTACGAAGATGCTATTGAGTTGTGTTCCTTTTTTGCCAACTTTTTAAAAATAAATTCGTGTAATTTTATAGATTTGCACCATCTCTACCAGGAGGTGATAGCACTATACGAAATCAACCTTTCAAAACGAAGTATCTTTTCGATTATCCCTATTTTGTTCCCGGGCATTTTTGACAGTTCGTTTGTCTGTGAATACCGAAGGGTGCTGTCCAGCGAGGGGATGCACTATACCAACGGGATGGATCGCTTTAACGAGTTCCTGCGTAAAGACGGAATAGACACGCCTTGGAAGGCAAAATATGGAACCGCATTGAAATGTGAGAGAGTCGCGTCCGAATCACGAAAAGGTAAATCGCCAAACGGGGACGACCCAGCGGATGAGTTTTACAAATTGACGAGAACAATTATATCCATATGTAGCAGCGCTGATGATAGTAATCATCGTCTTAACTTTCAAAAGCACTTAATACACATTTTGTATATATTTCCATGCGCGCATAAATTGCTGATAAAATATAAAGACCTGGAAGGACGTAACGTATGCTACAAAATGAACCTATTTTTGGACAAGTACAACTCGCTGAACAAATTTAGAGCCACTTTGGTGACTACAAAAAATGCCAAACTATCTTCGAATGAGGGAATAAGAAGAAGATATAAAATGATTCCTTCGGATATTACCTCCCGAAGTTATCAGCTGAACAGTGGTAGACTTCTGAACTCGGTATGCAACAGTGTAAGTGCAAACGAAGAGGCCATATATAGCCATCCACTAATTGTGGGCAAAAATATCTATGCATACATATACGAGGTGAATAGGTGTAGCAAAAGTATATTTTTCCGCTTTAATTTAAACGCAAAAGATGTCCTATTTCGAAATGTTCTATCCAATGAGGTCAAATGTGCCTTTGGGGACAGGAAAACAAATGGGAGCAAACATAATCGCGTATGTAGAAACATAAACTGGAGTCTCTTTTCAAGAAAGTCAAAAGTTCAAATGAGTAGGAACCAAAAATTGTACAATTATAAAAATAACATACTCACAGGGGTGTTGCACGATAAGGAAAATAATTTTCACTATTTTGACGATAAACGAGTTGGTGATGTGGTTCTGTGCACCATATGCGACATTTCGGTGTGTGGAAAATTTATTTATTTGCAAAGGTTCGACAAGGAAAATTTGATTTTCCACTTCCGTAAAAAGAAATACGTCAATTTGGAAAAAGACTTTGACTATGACGATGTTAACAAGTTGGATGAACAAGTGCTACGGGAGCTTCTGTAAATTTTGTCCCCGCAATGGGGGAATACTTGTCCCCTGCTGTGCTGGTACACTGTGTCCATTTATGTGTCCATGTGCACAATGCCACCGTGCACATGATTTTCTAAATTGGTGAATATTTTATGGCACCACATACGCTTGGAGTTTTTTTTTTTTTTTTTTTTTGTGTAATTGTACCATTAATCCAACATGTGAAAACCGTTTCTTCAAGCTGCATGCCATTTAATAATACAACTTAGCTACACACCATGCGGTGGCTATTCAAAAATGAATATTTTTGTTTGGGTAGATGGTGAGCGTAATGCACTCTTTGTAATAACTGTGTTGATAAAAGTACAAAAAAAAAAAGGTATACAAGTATTTACATGCTACCATATGGGCAGCAAAAGAATCAAAGACAAAACAAGGGGGTAAACTAAATGAACAGTTGATCATATGACATAATATGGGTGGGGCTGAAATAAAGAGGCAAATGAAGTAAATTCAGTGGAAAAGAAAAAAAAGAAAAATAATGACGAAGCGGCTTCAAGATGGATTCCTGAAAGCTCTCCCCCCAAAAAGACTTCCCTCAGCTACTATCACATTTGCTCTATTTCACAAAACAAGGGGTGTTTTCACTAAAAAATTTAATCATACACAGTTCAACGAGGGCAATATTGGACACATTCTACCTTTTCGCACACTTGCACAGATACATATGGGAAGAAAATAGGATCCGCCTCGTTCTATGTGTATCACGCGTTTTGCGTGCCACTGTCCCACGGAACAGTTAAAAGAGCTGCTTTTGTTTTTTTGTTTTTTTTTATTCGAATTAGAGTCTTATACGTCAAATTATTGAAGAACTGATCAACCGGATGTAGTGTATATTTAAATCCACTTGGCTTGAAAACTTCCGCAGGTTGTCTTTAACACGTAAGTGTTGTGTAGATATTTACACATAAGGGAGGTTATAATGTTCTTCATGTTGTTCCCTCTGCTCAGCTTCGCTCGGAGAAGAGAAGACGCTGTTTTTATAAGTCTGCATTGTGCAATTATTTCTATGCTCATGGACCTCCCTTTTGCATGGCTTCATAATTTTTTCTTTTCTTCTGTTGGGGCCTTTTAAAAGTCAAACGTGTCATCGCCAAGACCAATGTCCTGCTGAAAATCGTTGTCATTGATAGACGGATCATTGTTGTTAAGGTTTTCACTGGGGTAACTATTATAATTGTCCGTGGCTTGACCACCCACATTGTCATTTGAGTAATCCATATTGTTGTTAAAGGAGTCGTACGTGCGTGGGCCGAAAATTTGATCTAACAATCTGTTGCTTAAAAAAAACCCACAACCATATATGAAGCTTTCATAGAAGGTGTTCAATAGACCCCCACCTCCTCTAACAAGATTGTTATTACCATTTGGTTGATTTACAATGTTGTTATGTGGCGTATACTTATTATACTCTGTTACGTTTTTATGAAGAACCTTTCGCACTCCCCTCCTGGGTGTATTATTATTTATAAATCTGGAAAAGTTCCTTTTGAAGAGTAGCATTTTGGTTCAGTACGAAAAGGTTTTCATTTATTTGGGGGTCAGCATTAATTCTTTTTTTTTACTTCAATGTATATTTTGAGCAGGTTGTTACGCGTTTAGTGGCAGTTTTGCTTCGATATATTTTATAGGTATCTAACAGAAGTCAGTTCTTTTTTTTTTTTTTTTTTTTTTCAATTTTGGCTTTGGCTATATTTGTTTTTATGCGTAGAAAAATGAACGGGAAAATGAAAGAAACAAAAAAAGGTTTCTTTTAAGCAGTTTATAATTAAATAACAATGAGGTAAAAAGACATTTACCCCATGTAGAATTTTTTCTCGTTATTTTTCTTCTTTTTTGCAAAAGCGTTTTTTAAAAAAGTTGAAGCTGGAATGTGCTTGGAATGGAAGGGTTGTTTACATTTTGCCTATATTATATGTACTCCCTCTTGAATTAAAAAAAAGAAGAAAATTTTGTAGAAAGAAAAAAGTGACAATACAGCAGCATTGTAAAGCTTTATTTTTTTATTTACTTTTCTTTTTTTAATTTTATGATGGAAAAAAATAAAAAAATCTGCGCGTTTGCTGAAATGAATGATTAAGCTAAGTGGCAATTTAATTTTACAAAATTGTTTTAAGTGCGTATGCATTTTTTACAAACACATGAAAAGTTAATTTTACCCACATAGGGCGCACATAAAAGCGGTATATATATATAAAAGGGACGTAACAAAGTATGTGCATGGTTGGCGTGGCATTTGTTAGCGTAACAAGTGTATATATATATGTGTAATATGCAATTGTGGAAACGTCCATGTGCTTGTGGAATAGTTCTGTGACTTGTGTGGGTGCTTGTGAAGAACAAGTGTTAACTGTTACTTGCTTTGCTTTTAATTTTTTTTCCTTTTGAGGTTTTACCGCTCTCCGTTTCGTTACCGTTCCTTTTGCAGCCCATTAATGTGTTTCATTTTTCTATATTTATCATTGGATATGCACATGAATCAGGATCCAAAATGAGTAAAAATCTGTAAACATTTTTTTTTTTTTTATGTAACGAATTGACAAAGCTTTTGTTGTTCAAGTGTAATGGTGCGTATCTTCATTCAAAAATTATGAATGTGAATGATTTTGTAAACTGCTGATGGTAACCTTTTTGAAAGTTTAACAAACTGAGCAAAAAAAAAAAAAAAAAAAATAGCAACAAGCGCATAAGCGCATAAATTAAAAGTACCAACAGGTGAATACAAAAAATTGCACTTTGAAAAACACTATTAAATGTTAATTGTGTTTGTGATTGTTTCACTTTTTAGTGGATTAATTTGCCCGTGCGTGAGGTTGATTGTAAGTCCCCACGTAACTCTGTGCGTACATACGTGTATAAGCACACACACAAGTACGCAGATTGTTCCCTTCCTAAAATTAGCCGTTACATGAAGGCGCTCTTAAAACATTGTGTAAATTTTCCTCTGCCGCTTGTTCCCGAACACTGGAATGTCGTGCAGGAGTAGTACATTTATCTAATCACAGCAGGTTTGCACATTTTTGCGGCTGTGTCACCTCACCCTCAGATGTAATAAGTAGCACACGGAGCGAACGGAACTAACGTAGTAAAATAGCACCTACCACTGGGTGAAAGGAATTGGGACAGAAAGATAGTTGCAATTCAAATGAAGTGCTAAAAAATTCGAATAAAAAATCGGGGGTAAAACGCAAGAGAAAAAGATGATACCACAGCTATATAATGGATATTTGCATTAGCCATCTTTACAATAGACAAATAAGAAAGAATATATTACAGGATGTTTTTTACAAATTAGAAAATTACGACAATGAAGAATTTTTATGCTTCGACGTAAACGCAAGCGGGAGTCTTCTGGTGGCCGCGTCCAAGACGTCTCTTTACTTTTTTCACATTTTAACGGGCACCTTACTACTGCAGCATACGTATTACGATGAAAATGAAAAAGAAGATTATCTGAAGCGGGACATTTTCGAGGAGGAGAAAATACATGGAAGTACGTGCAGTGGGGTGAATGATAAAGACAGCAACGAGAGTGGACAACACGAGGCGGTGAAGAGTGTCGGGCTCGACGAGGGGAACGAATATGACATTGAGAAGGAGATCGAGAATGAGAATAGTACCAGCGGAAACATTACAAGGAACGACAATATCAGCAGCAACGAGTTTAGTAACATCCTGGATAACATTAACAGCAACGAGGTTGGAAGTGCAAGCGGGATTGGCAACCCGGACTATGATGAGCGGGCCAGCCATATTGACGGGGCTAATAATGTTAATCAAGCTACCTGTGTTGATCAGGCTAACCACCTTGATCACGCCAAGGATGTTGACCCCCTGGCCATGTGCTACGACCTGGGTAACGATAAGGACAGACAAAGTCCCAACTGTGACGAGGATCTGAAGACCACCAAAGAGGAAGAGGAAAGTTACGAGACCCCGAATGCAGCAATTCAAAATGGAAACTACCTTCCCGATAATTTTCTGACACAAAATGATTCCATCTGTTACGACGACTCGGTAAAAGCACATAAGAGGAAGCTCTTGGCACTTAAGGGACAAAAGTCCAAGAAAGTAAAAAAAAGTTCGAGAAAATCCCAGAAAAGTATGAGTAGAAGTGGAGAAAACATAACCAACTTGAGAAGCAAAAATAACGAAAGCAGCAGTAGGAAAAGTGCAGATGATAAATTTGAAGATGAAAACGCACATATAAAGAAAATACAATTTATAAAACATGACAAGTATCTATTAGGTGTATCGACGAGATACTTGTCCATTTTTAAAATCTGCGAATTTCCCATAATCAGAATAGTGTATATGGATTTGTTATGTCTTTGCATTGGAATCGAGACGATCATTTCAAAGAAGCTTTTTTTCCCTTGCTTCTTTTCTGAGTATTTTTATCTTCTTTATAAAGAAAATGAATATAAACAAACGGTAGAGGGGAGTCTCTTGAACAGTAGCAGTTTAAGTAACGATTTTTCGCGACCCTTTGGGTCCAATTCTGACGTATCTATAAATAAATTCGAGGAAATCTCTGAGTGCAGTAAAAATTGTAAAGAGATGGAATCGCCCCCCTTTAGGGGCTACCAAGAAGAAGCAACACCAGGGAAGGGTCATTTAAGCCTTTTCAAAGATTATTATAAAATATACACAGGTTTAAACTTTAGCAAAATTAGAAACTTTGAAATATGCGAAGTAAAGTGTGTGGATTTTAAGAAGAAAAAGCGCTCCTCCGGGGATGAAGGGGGGAACATTTACGTCCTAGATCTTGTTTTGTGTTTGAAGGAGCAAATTCCGTACGTAACTAGGGTGTACGTGGAGGATATGGCTGACCCGAGTGGCCAATACGAGACGTCCCTGCCTGATGTACATCACCTTGCTTCATATGCAGAACGCATGAACGACTTCATCGTGGATGTTAATGTGACGCACCCCATTATATCGTACGAACAGATGAACTTCACATTTGAGGAAATTGCTAGAGAGAGCTCCTTGCATGTGAGGAAAGACATACTTTATTCTAAGAGTAAGTCGAAGAATAAGAAAAAATGTGTGAAGGGGGGTGGCTCAAAAAATTTTGAGTATAACGAGATCCATGGTGTGAGTAAGATGGAGGAGTGCTCCGCGGCAAGGCTAGGAGAGGCAATCCTTAGCGAAGCGGTGGTTGATGGGGGAGGTGCCACAGAACTGGTTAGTGCAGCGACTACCCGACTTCCCAGCGGAATGCCCACCACAGCGTTGAGCGAAGTTACAATAGGGAATACCAAAACCGTGGAACCCACGGAGAGCTACATCAGCAGCAGCAACTTCCTCCCCAGGCAGACCCAGAGAGAGGGTGCAAGCGTCTGCGAAGACAAGGACGAAGAAGCCATGCAGTTGATGAAATTTTTCGAACATTATGAAAATAGTCGGAAATTTTTAAAAAAAATGCTAAGTGGATATTTCCCCATTTGTGTGTACAAAAAAAGGAGCAAGAGGAGGTCCAAGGAATTACCAACCACGTTGAATATATACGACAATTTGGATGCTCTTCTGAAGGGAAAAAGCCTAAGGGGTAACATTCCCAGAGGGGAGGAGAAAGACGGGGAAATTTTCGAAAAAGTAAATGACTACTACACATTTGACTACTCCGGGAGGGAAAAAACGGACTATTTTAATTTTCCTCACAGTTTGCTAAAAAATAAGAACAGCTTGAAAAACGTGAATAAGCATAGGGACATAGACAAGAACAAGCACTATATATATGTGGGAACCCCGTCGTATGTCCTCGCATTCGAAATGCACTACGTGAAAAAGTGTGCCACCGTACAAGAGGAGGAAAACAATAAAGCGGAGTCGCCAAAAAGGAATAACTTAGTATATTCCAAAATTGAGTGCATATCGGATGAAATTTGCAGAACGCATGATAATTACTTGAGGAATGTACAGGAAAAAAACCTGTTTGACGAAAAAATAGAATTAAGTTTTCTGTTTAAGGTATACCTGGGGATAACAACCCCGCTGGATATTGCCATAAGGGAGAAGGGGAACTTGCTCTGTGTAAGGACACTGGAAAAGGTGTTCCTGTACAAACTTACGTACAAGTATAGTGTCCACTGCATGGGGGGGGGTTCTCATTCGAATATAGTGACTGTATCGGATGAGAGGAATTCCCTTGAGCAGTGTACTACTGGGGAGGTGCCCTCCCAGTTGGCAAATAACATTCCTTCCTGTATAGTGGCAAACAAGAGCTGTCCAACGCAAGGAGGAAAGCACGATGATCTGTACAGTTACATCGATCGGATATGCCTCTATCATACAATTCATAATCCAATTCAGAAGGAAGTGCACGAGTTGTGTTGCTTCAGTGAAGACATTTACCAATCATACCTGCTTGTTGTGTCGCTAAAATCTGGGCAGTACACACTATACATTTACGATTTGAAGCACATGGATTTACAGAATGCAATGAAGGTAAACATCTCCGCTTACAAGGGATTCAAACAGATAAGGTGGATAAAATGTTATGACATGCTAGTAGCCCTGTCCACTATAGGGAATTACTTAGTAGTATTAAAGAACAAACACCTAAATAATTGGAGCTTCTTCATCTCGGACTTTGAATTGATAGGTTCGAATATCGAATTTATCGAGGAAGAAAACGAATTTGACATAATAGAAAATATTCAACCGAAACATAAACATATAGATAATCATATTTGGAAGTATATTATTATTTACATAAATTTATTTATAAAGAATAAAATTAGCATTCAGAATTTAAGCCACCCTTCGTCCCTCTTTCCAATACTGTATACAGGGTATTATAAAAGCAGCCCAATGTATTTTTTTTACAAATCCTGTTATCATTTTGGTAAAGAAAATTTCCTCTGTTACGAGGTGGATGAGTCTACAGAGCAGGAGTCACAGGACGGGGAGGAATGGACAAGGACGAAAAAAAAAAAAAAAAAAACACTGGAAAAAGGGAAAGAAGACGAAATCAAACAAATGGAGGAAAACAGAAAACATTCATTTTTACAAATAAGAGAAAATCTGGATCATTATGTGGATTCACCATTTCAAGAACCCGAAGAGGACAATCAAAACAATTTGTTCGTTAAGGACAACTCGAACAGCGTGGAGTTGCTGGCCCCTGAAATGCTTTATTATTTGTACTACAAAAATATAGTCAATTTTTCATTATAGGGGATATAACACGGCTGCTATCTGCAGTTGGTATATTGAGTGTACACATTTCATTTCGTTTGAATGTGGCACGCCCCCGTCGCACTTATTTATGGTGCTTCCCCTTTTGAAGTAAATAGGAACAAACATCGAGAAGGCATACTGCATTAGTTTATGGAAGTTTCGTTGGCTGTGCTGTGTTCAAGTTGGCCCGCGTAGTAGTTGTGCATTGGGTTGCGTTGTGGACGATCCGCTCGTATGTTGGGTTAGTTAGATTACGTACCAGTTGATCCGTTCATGTATGTGTCGCTTGATGTACTCACGTGTCGATTCGTGACACCACTGTACTGTGTTTATCATGCTACAACAATGTAGTTTCACGCGCCCGTTTTCACTCGTCTGGATCGAAGTGTAAAGGGGATCGCGCAACCCTAATAAAATTTTCCAGCTTTTTAAGTGCGTGTCTGTCCTTGTTGCATCGACAGATTTGCTTTAGTGATTGTGTCGTACTGTGCACGCTTTTTTGAAGTTGATTCACAGCAATTTATAATTAATTCGATGTATTTTCGGCGTGCGTCTACCGCGTGCTTGGCTGCACGCTCCACATCATAGTCATGCCCATAAGACACATTTGATTCAATGTCCGTGCATATTTGTTTCCAATTTTGTTTCCATGTGGAATTTTTTTTTTTCTTCCTGGCGATTATTAACTCATGCTCGACAGTGCAGTTAAAAACCACTTCGGGTACTGTCTTCCAAATTTGGACACAACTATCCAGTGTGGAGGGAAAAGCTCATTCGAACTCAGATTTGGTTCGGAGGAAGAATAAACGATTAAACATGATTTTGAGGATTTTATCGGTGAAAACACAAAAAAAAAATTATACGTTAAAATGGAAGGCCATGTTGGACAGGTGTCACTGTGTGTAGACTAGGCAGAAGGAGGTTATCCGTGTAGCTACATATTACGTGGTGTTAAAATTTTGGGCGCACAATGAACAATGCCCTTACGATTGAGACGGTGGATGTGGGCCCTCATTTAGCATCATCCACGGTCAATTGTGAGTATGCGTCAAAAGTTAACGACCGGGTAGTTGTATGTGATGCTACTCTTGATGACATTGAACAGGTGTGAATTTTCAATCGCCGCTGCGATTCTTTCCTTGTCGTTCAGTTGTTTATTTATGGAATGCTCAGAATTGTGAGACCCTGGGAATATGTATATATTTATCTTGAAAGAGTTCGATAGAGAGAATTGTAATTTTATACTTATCATTAAACCGATTAGTGTAGCTAGGGAACAGTTTGGAATGGTTGGAGTAAAATACACAGTGACATTTTTTTCTTGCAGATTTACATAAATGTTTTTCTTCTCAATAATTTTTAAATTTTCTAATGTGTAGGAATATTCGGGGTCTTTTATATCCCTTAGCATATCATAAATTTCGTCTACACTTATTTGATCTTCATCGTAGTTTAGGTTGCACAAGTCGCTTGGGTTATACAAATGCTCCTTTATCGTTTGCTCGTTAAGGATATGGTCGTTGTGCTCGTCTTCCTTATAGTTGTACAACACGGGGTTTTCGTTTTCTGGTTTGTAGGTGTTCATTTTTGGTGGTCCCGTAGGCAGCGCGTGGGAAAGCCTCAGGGGGGTGAAGAATTTACGTTTAACATATGAGGTGTGGCATATAATATATGCTTACATGTACCCTAGTGAGTGCAGCTCATTCCCCCCTCCCGGATTCACCCGTTTGAACTGCGGAAAAGCTTATCCGTTTACTTCACTCGCTTTTGGGGATCTGTCAGTTCGGCATTTTCGACAACATGAGATTGCGCTTTTAAAATATTCCCTTTCGCATCATATGTTTAAGAAATTGAGACGGAGCGCTCGTAAAAAAGGGAAAATAAAATTGATTGAGTTCGAGGTGCTCCTCGCTATCGGTATGATGAAAATTGGGGTGATTAAAAAACAAATTTAATGACTTTTGAGATCCAGATGGACAGGAACGAAGCAATTTTCTTTTTTAAAAAAATTATCACTGTGTTTACCAGAAAAAAGTTGAGATCCATGATTTACTTAATCGTGCAAAAAAAACAAAAAAATAAATACAGGCATATGTATATGTAAGCAAATGTGCACATTACAGTACATGGTGAAATGTACCTGCGCGCGACAGCGCGTCCCAACTTTTTCATAGAAAATTTAATTCATCAAAATGAGTTTAAGCGGATGTAACTGCGGACCATATCAAGAGTTTGTTGCAGTCATGGGGGTAAAGATGTATTAATAACATCGAGGGTGCGGAAGTCGCGAAAATGTGAAGTTAAAACGAAAAAATAAGCTGTCAAATGCAAGGTTGATCAAATACACAAATGTGGTAATTTTAGCAGTTTGCACAGAGTGACTTTTTTCGCCACCCCTAACCCATTAGCATATTACAAGTTGTGCATATGTGTATATGACGCGCGCGTAGGTGTAGGGCGTCGCGCTCATGTACGTACAGGTTCGCGCACACACGAGTGTAGTTTTCGTGGGGTCAGGTGCCCCCCCGTGTGCTCTTCCTTTCTCCCATCACACAATTCGTGATTTTATTTTACTTTGTATTTCTTTCAAGACGCTCATTTCGTACTGAGTAACGTAGCTCTCAGGCACCAGTTTAGAATAGTGGTACTTCAAAATGACGGAATGCACGTGCTTATACTGGAAGAAATCTGCATTTGCACATTTAACCAATTGGTCAAGCTTAGTGAAGTTACACAAATGGAGGTCTACATACTGATCGTAATAATTTATCCCATTTGCGAGAAAAATGTAGTAAAATTTGTGCCTTTCCGAGTGCACATTTTTTAGCTCTTTGTATAGATTCATGTACGCAGAATTGCGCACATCACAGATAGGGCTATTGTCATTCTCGCTTTGAGATAAGTACTCCTCTATTTCCCTTTCCAAATTGGTTATATGCTGAATTATGGACTCTGAAATTTTGCTAAAGAATTTTTTTAAGGTGTTTACTACGTGTTGAGGTGCATCCCCAAGAAAGTTCGCACTGTTGCTGCTGTTTGTAGAATTATCACTTTTCTTTTGTGTAATCGCTTCTCGTATGTCCGATTTATTATTACTGACGAGGTTGGCTCCCGCTAATTTTGCATCTTTCCGACGGGATAAAGCATTTTCTTCCTCTTTCTGATTCACCATAAATTCTTCTCTACCTTTTGGGTCTACACCGTGGATGGGCACACGTTGGTTTGTCCTTCTTTGGCTGCTACTTCTGGGGGCAGACAGAGTTCCTGCTGGGTTGTTCTTATTACAGGGGGATACTACTGGTAGCACGTCAGTCCTAATCTGGTGGACAATTTCGATGTTATTTAGGTTAAAAATGTAATTTATTAAATTCCAGAGTAGGTAGTGGACTACGACTGATACGACCCCGTCGCAGCAGAACGTTAGTTTTCGTTTCGCGTCATTCAGTATGTTAATGTATAAGTTCATAAACTGGTTCATATGCGTTTGGAAATTTGTCTGTAAACTTGTCCGTAAATCTTTTTTTGTTTCAATGTTGTAAACGTCCGTTGCGTTCCTCCCCCCTCCGAGCGAATTACACGCGTCGTTAACTAACTTTACAACTTCGCTGATGTAATTACTGCTGTCTACAAGTTCATAGAGAGAATCGCAATAAACTAATATTCGCAGTTCATCTATGATGTGCAGTTTTTGTTCCAAGAAGGGGCGAAGGGAAGCCCATTCGGCGTCAGTACGGTGGTTACCCATAGTACTACTGTGATGGGTATTCTTCTGGTTGGGTTCTCCATTTGGAACATGAATGCATCCGCTGAACGTGTCCACTTGGCCAGTTTTTTCTTCCCTTGGCATTCCCCCAGATGACATTATTTCTTCTTTCAATTTACTAAGCAAGCAGTACAACGACTCGATGGAAATTATCTTTTCCGCAATGGCGTAGTGACACGTGGAACTGTAAATTTTGCAAAAGTTATTTAAGCTGAGAGGTGGACAGAAACTATCCGTGACATTGCTACAATTTGTTACGTTGTATTTATTTTGGAAGGGGTGATGCGAATTTTTATGCGCATCCAGAAAGTAATAATTATCCGAATTATTTCGAATTTCTGCAGTGTAAAAAATTAAAAAGTTGTACAAATGTTTGTACTTTTCTTGTTTCTTTAAAATAAAAAATAAGTTGTTTATACCTAACCTATCGTTGTATTTTTTTAAGTCAATGAGGAGTTCTTCCATGGTTTCCCTTTTCATAAAATAGCAGCATAATATGTACATGTAAAAATCGATTACTTTTAACATGTACTGTTTTATTTCATCCTTCAAATTGGGCAGCAGCTCTTCCAGCATTAAATAATGCTGCAGCACACAGATGAGCATGCTACTACTGTTTGATAAAACCATGTCAAAGTTAATAATGTGGAAAATTTCCTTCTTATTCACCATTTTGTTTGTCTTGTTCAAGTAGACTTCTTGGCTCATTTCGTCTGAGTCAGGGTCGTTCGTTTTTTTTTTCACTTTGGATGGATCACTATCAAGGGTGGTGGATTTACTCCAACTGGTGTAATTTCTCGCATGATTACTCAATTTAGATGAGATCGAATTTTCGTTTCCCTGCGCGTTCGTATGCTCGGGTGGTATGTCTGTCTCGGAACACAACTGTTCTTCTAACCTCTTAAAGTTAAAACTGATTAGGGGATTTTCCGAAAAGGGGACATTCAGAAAATTATAAAAAGTTTTCTTATATAGCGATATAACGTCAAAAAAATGAAATTTCTTTTTAAAGATGCATTGATTTATGCTTGCTGGTATCCGAACCCAGTTGTCTTTATTAATGGCATCGTTTAATTTTTTGCCATTAAGGTAAAAAAAGTGAGGGAAATTATTTTTAATTTTGTTTTCCATTTCTTCAAAAATGGGACTACTTTTAAGCAGTTCGTAGAAGAATTGGGTTCGTTTCTCCTGTTGTGCAAAGCGGAAAGGTGCACTTTCATTCAGAAAATATTCCCTGCATATTTGTTCTACATCTGGTTGGTAATTCTGTCTTTCAGGTTGACTCTTCTCGCTTGATTTGTTATATACAATATGAGATGCGCGTGCGTGTATTTCTTCTGTGCTACTTTGTCCATTTTGTGTCTTCTCAATTTTGGAAAATTTTGTGCATTTCATTTTACTTCCCAGTTTGTGAGCACCTGGATAAGTTGGTAACTCCCATTCGCTTTTGTTAATAACTTGTCGCGCTTCTGTTTCGAGGTGTGTCTGGTGGTGTTCCCGAACATAATCGTGGCTTTGCTCTTCTTTGCACAGAATTGGGGGGTTACCATTTTGTTGCCCTTCCTGCTGGCTCTCCGATACGTCCCTATTTTGAACCTCCTTTTCGTGGTGCGCTTCCTTTGGAATAACTACACGCGGATTTTTCACCCCCCAATGGTAGATGCGACTATTGGATGAGTTTCTCTCGAAGAGAAATGCATTCAGGCAAAACATAATGGTGACCACTACAAACCGGAATATGTAATGGAAACCAAAGTTCTCAAATTTCATATGTTCGATAATCGTTTTGAGCGCTTTCTCTACATTTCTTAGGAACTTATTTTTTGCACTTAACAGTTTATTCGCATTGTCAAGTGCGAAATACAGGAACGCCTCGGAATGGTCATAATGGATGCTCCTACCTTTTAAATATGATTCAATTTTTTCTTTAATTTTTTGAGAATATTCTGCAAAGGGGCAATTTTCAATGTCGATGTTTTTTACAAAATCTGTTATTTGGGTGGAAGAACTATTACCGTCGCTTATTTGATAAAATTTTGAGAAAGCGGAAAAGCGTTTCTCGCTTCTATATTCGTTGAACAGGTCGTAGAAGCTGAAGTTATCAGGGTGGTCTCCTCCTTGGGGGGAATTTCCTTCCCAGTTGGAATCGTCCAAGGTGTGTCTTTTCTCTATCGCGGAGTCGTCTTTCTGTAATTCGTCATGCTCAGAATGGTCGCTCTGTAACTTGTCATTTCGACCAGGGGAATCTCTTCCAGGGACGGCACTTCCCTCATCGGTGTGGTGCTTAGAAAAATCGCTCGCGGCACATTCAGTGTGGTTTTTATTGTTACCATTAAGTGAGATGTTATCCATCTTTGTTCCTTTCGCGCCGCCGCTAGATTCTTTATTTTGTGTATAATTTAATAAGTAAATGATGATGGAGTCATATTTGTTCAGGACATCAAAGGTAATTTCGTATATTTTAACAAGCGAAAGGAAGCAGCCCTTTTCGTTTAATTTTTGTACCAACTCGTTTAGCGGAATAAACAAAAAATTGTCTTCTTCTTGTAGCTGGTTTATATCAATTTGGACTTTGTCCTTTGGGTTATTCTCATTTGACATGGAGTTATTAAGTGTGTCTTTATTACTTCCCGTTTTTAAGTCCTTTACATTTTCGTATGTGTAACTAATCACATCATTTATATTATCAGTATTATTTGGGACACCCTGGGATGTTCCTTCGTTTTGGTTATAGTGTCCATGGTGCGCGATGTTTTTCCCGTGGTTGGGGATTCTCTCATTCAAAACATGATGTACACTTGTGTTATAGAATGGAGGAGCATAATTAATCCCCTGTTCGTGCAAACCACTCGTTTTTAATTCACAATGTTGGGATTTTTTTGGTTTATCTTCTGAGCAAAATGAATTTTTTTCTTCGTCAAGGTATTGTGCCTTGGAGTTATCCATGTACTCTCCTTTGAGGTGCTCACTATTTTGTACTAGTTTTTCGGGGGCATCTCTGTAATTCCTTTTTTGTTTGCCTTCGATTTTGTTAGCTCTGCTTTTGCCGCCCTTTTTGTTTACAATTACAAAGGAAAAAATAACCTGCTTTGAAATCTTGCGAAAGCATTGATACACATGGGCTAGCAAATTTTCGATAAAATTGGAGTTTTTTTTTTTAAAAAGGAAGAAATAAATCTTGAAGGACTTTTCTAACTGTGCTTGTAAATTTTTATTCCCATTATTTGCAAATAAAAATTCGACAAAATTTGTCTGATTTTTTTGCTTCAATCTGTTGAAATAATCTACCAAATTTTTTTGCTTCAAATGGTGTATACAGTTAAGGTGATGGAGAAGTTTTCCATGTGTGTTCAAAAATTTGGCCAGCTCGAAGTACGTTAGGGATGCATACTCATAATCCTTCTTTAAAATATTTTTAAAAATTAATTTATCATATATGTGGATAATATATATGGTTAGAATTGTTAAGTTTATTTTCTGGAATTTTTTCTTTTTCGTCACAAGGTTAACTATGTTTAGACTTTCCTTATATTTCTTGTCCTGCAGAAATTTCAACTCGCTTGTATTTTCTGCCACTAAGTTTTTAATATTTGATAAGAAGACTTCAATGTCTTTAATCTTGTTGGACATATTGAGGAATTCTATGTATTTTGTTTCTAACTTTTTGTATATGACTGTTTCGATTTCTTTCCTTATAGAATTTAATTTGTTTATAATTTTCATGATTTCTTCCCCGTCGTACACATTATGTACTTTGTCAATTTCCTGCTCAAAGACAAATATTTCTCTTTCCTGATACGTGTGTTGCATGTTTATTCTGTCAGTGTAGAAGTAATCATTTGTATCCCCCTGTTGTTTTTTGATCTCTCTGTGTGCTTTGTGTCTTCCTGATTCTTTCTCTTTTTTCTTTAGGCTTTTGACTTTATCCCCCCTGACGTTTATATCATTCGTGGTTACGGGGGGCGTCTCGTCACGCTCACTGGTGTTTTCTTCCCGAAATTGGGATTCACTGCGCGTCTTTTTCCTGTATACCCCAGCATCGTCGTTAGAGTAGAAATAGAATTCATTTCCGGTCAGGTGATTTATGCTGTTACTTGTGTCAAACATTAAACTTTGATCATTCGGGTTTTCATCACCAGCCATGCTGTCAATAACCTGTGCACGCGTGGTGGCACGTGTTGTTAGCATGTTGGTGGGTGAACAAACAGTTGTAGAATATGATCACGCATGTGCAGGGGAACATTATGTGTGTTATTTCGATCTCTTCATTTATTGTCGCAATGGGGCAGGGGAATGAAGATATAGGGCGCGCAGGATGGTCTTAAATCAGTTGACACATAAGTCAGCGATGCCGCGAAAAGGGTTTGGCATTGTGGTGGATAAAATAAACGTGCGTCCCCTCTTGCGCGTGTGTGTTTCGCTTTCCTTTTAAAAAAATCTCTCTTATGTGTAGCAGTAGCGCTAGAGAAACCATTAAAACTGTACATAATGGAAAAAGGGGGAAATGTTCAGGCTACATGTGGAAAGTTTAAATGCCCCCACCTTATCACTTCATTTTGTTGATATGCAAAATGCATAACACATTATTTACCTCCCCTTGAGTGGAGTTATTTTTTAATGTGTTGCTCAATATAGCAGCGCGAAGGGAGCAAGCTGCTTTGGAGACAAAAACAAGGAAGAAGAATAAAAACAAAGAACTAAAAACTTCGTGACAATTTAGATAAAACAAAGTAGTAGGGCAAACAAGCGGGGAATACCCATACACCACTTATTCATGGCACAATTATAAAAGTAACAACGATGGGAGGACAATTTTTTTTGAAAGTGAGTAGGAAAAGTACATACATACACGTACACTTCCACAATAACTTATGCATTATGAAAAAATAAAACAAAATTCTATATAAATTTTTATAAAAAAAAAAGAAAAAAGAAAAAATGTACCTTTTGTAAAGGTCCTTTCGCGCACATATGAGGACAGTGAAAATACCTTTGCACTTCTCCACAACATGTAAATCTTTTTTAACAAGTATATTCAAAGTTGCGTTTATTAATGAATGTTCTACTGTCATTTTGAGAAGCGACGAGAAGGACATTCAAGGCGCGTTTTTTATTCGCAACAATGATATCCTATGTGAGGGGAACAATTATGTAAAAGCGGAGTTATTTTAGAAGCCTCATTACAGAAGCTTTATTTTTTTTGTCATCCTGTTTGTGAGTTGAGACTTATGGAGCCATTTTAATCCTGCCAACGCTACAACTCAAATCTCAACAGTACATATAGTAAACAGCGTGGAGGGAAAATAAGCAGAATATGAGAGCTATGGAACACTTCTTCAGATGAGAGAAATAACAAAAAAAAATACAAAAAAACAAGAAGAATAAACTCACAAGATAATCTTTTCATCAGTCCCTTATGTGCAGTCCCATCCTTTGGGAAATTAAGTTCATTCAAGACGAACTTGTGTATGTAAATGTAAATTAGGGTGTTGTACATACGTATGTTGCCGTGTTTTGCTTGCTATTTTATAGTATTGCCATTTTAACCGGAACATCTGACGATTTAAAACCTCCAATTTGAGTCTACAGAAGAGAAAAGGCTGCACCTCGCACAATTACAAACATTCTTTACACATATGTTTAGTGTACGGTAAAGTTGCAAAAGAAGGTAGTTGGCCGAGAAATTAAAAATTAAAATTTTATGTTGATAAAGTTTCCCCCCTTGTGCGAACTTTTTTTTTTTTTTTTTTT